AAAACAAAGCAAAACAACAAAAAATGTAGAAACGTTTCGTCTCTCGTCCGAGAGACTTCTTCAGTCTGAGGTGCTGCTTTCAGCTCAGTCTCTTAAATAGCACCTTCTCAGAGTGGATCGACCAGTTTTGCTGCTGACAACCAAAACCAGCTGATCACATGCTCAAGAAGGACCATCAGCCTAACAATGAATCATTAGCACACTGATGGCTGTGTACTATTCACAGAGGGCTGAGTGATACTAGCAATCACAGCATTGTAAGAGGGGGACAATTGAACACGTAGGCCTCCACCCCTGTTTAATGATGGACGGTTTCTTTTCACAAAGATGGCCTCCTTTACTCCTCTCTCAAACCATCGTTCCTCTCTATCCAGGATGTGCACATCTTCATCCCTGAAAGAGTGAACGCTGGCCTGGAGATGAGTGTAGACCGCAGAGTCCTGGCCTGATGATGTTGATCTTCTGTGCTGGGCCATCCTTTTGGCCAGTGGCTGTTTTGTTTCCCCGATGTAAGACTGATCACAGCCCTCCTGACACTGAACAGCATACACAACATTACTCTGTTTGTGCCGGGGGACTGGATCTTTGGGATGAACCAGTCTTTGCCGTAATGTATTTTGGGGTTTAAAAGCCACTGGGACGTTATGTTTAGAAAATAAACGTCTCAGTTTCTCTGATACTCCCTCAACATATGGAATGACCATCTGGGTCTGGGTTCCTCCTTTTCACCTGTTGGCTGACTGGAGTCCTGTTTGGGTTTCTTCTCTGCTTTCAGGAAGGCCCAGTTAGGATATCCACATTGCTCTAGAGCCTGTCTTGTGTGGGATTTCTCCTTCTGCCTGGCTCCTGAGCTAGTGTGGACGCTGTCTGCTCTGTGATACAGAGTCCTGATGACTCCTAACTTGTGCTCCAAAGGGTGATGGGAGTCAAACTGCAAATACTGGTCTGTGTGGGTGGGTTTGTGGTACACCTCAGTTTGCAAATGTCCTCTATCAGAGACTGAGACCTCACAGTCCAAGAAAGCCAACTTGCCATTTTTTTCCTCTTCTCGTGTGAACTTGATGTATTTATCCACAGAGTTGATGTGGTCAGTAAAATGTTGGACTTCCTGAGATTTAATTTTAACCCAGGTGTCGTCAACATACCTGAACCAATGACTTGGTGGTGTCCCTGAAAAGGACGTCAAGGCTCTCTTTTCTACCTCCTCCATGTACAGGTTGGCAACAATAGGAGAAACTGGAGACCCCATAGCACACCCATGTTTCTGCCTATAATATTGTTCCCCATATGTGAAGTAGGTTGACTGCAGGCACAGTTTCAAGAGTTGACACAGTTGTTCTGTGGAAAGCGTGGTCCTGCTGCTCAGAGTGGTGTCTGATTTTAATTTTAAACTGACCACCTCTACTGCATCATCAACAGGAATGCATGTAAAGAGTGATGTGACATCAAAAGAGACCATTGTTTCATCTGTCTCCATGATGACATCCCTCACCTTATCCACAAAGTCCATGGTGTTCTGTATGTGGTGTTCTGAGCTGCCAACTAAAGGGATGAGTACAGACGCCAGATATTTGGAAACATTGTAAGTGACAGAGTTAATCATGCTAACGATTGGTCTTAAAGGTACACCTTGTTTGTGGATTTTAGGTAAACCATACAGACTAGGTGTGGCCTCCCCTGGGTACAGTCTGTGGTACAGAAAACGGTCAATAGCCTTGTCCTGCTCCAAAATTTTCAGGCAATCTATTAACTTTTTCTTGTAACCACTTCCTGGATCTCTTTTCAGAGGTTCATAAGTGTTTACGTCACTAAGGAGTGTCATAACTTTCTCATGATAGTCTTTCTGGTTCAAAATCACTGTGCACCTTCCTTTGTCTGCTGGGAGAATGATGATGTTTTTGTCCTTGCTAAGAGTGGTGAGTGCATCCCTCTCCTCTCTACTGATGTTGGAAGGTGGTGGTTTGGCATTGCTGAGGCAGGCTGAAACTTTGATTCTGAGCTGTT